CTGCCCAGATCGCAAATGAAATGAAAAGATACGGAATTCAAGTACTGGGGATATGTGAAAGCAGATGGAACGGGAATGGACTCACCAAATTGTCAACGGGTGAGTCAGTGATCTACTCCGGTCACCCAGAAGATAACCACACACACACACCGAGGGCGTGGCTACCATGATGTCACCAACGGCAACGAAGGCCCTGATGCAGTGGGAGGCGATCTCGCCCAGGATAATAACCGCCAGATTCAACTCCAAAGGAAGGAAGGTGTCATTTATACAATGCTATGCACCGACCAACAACGCAGACCTCGAAAGGAAAGAAGAATTCTACAGACAACTGCAGACAACAATGGACAATACTCCAGCTGGTGACATCAAAATACTAATGGGAGACATGAACGCCAAACTGGGATCAGACAACACAGGAAGGGAACTCATCATGGGTAGAGAAGCTCTCGGAGAAATGAATGAAAACAGAGAACTCTTCGCCGACTTCTGCGCCTTCAATGAACTAGTGATTGGTGGCAGCGTAACAAACACAATGATATCCACAAGGCTACATGGGTATCACCAGATGGGCGAACCAAAAACCAAATCGACTTCATCTCAATCTCAAGAAAGTGGAGGTGCAGCCTACTGGACACAAAAGTAAGAAGAGGAGCAGACATTGGCTCAGACCACTATGTCGTACAAGGGACAATCCAAATCAATTTAAAAGCTTTCAGAGAATCAGGAGCTGCAGATAGACCACAAGCCAAGTTCAACACTCAAAAACTGAAGGACCAGGACACAAAGGACATCTTCACTGCAAGTATAAAAGACAAAGCCGAGACACAAATCAACACTGGCGAAGAGGTCAGCGTCGAAAACACTGGAACAACTTGAAGACAGTGTGGAGTCAAACCTGCATGGAAGTTCTAGGCAGAAAGAAGAGACAGGGCAAACAGTGGCTCACTACGGACACTTGGAAACTAATAGAAGAGAGAGGGATGGTGAAACAAAAGATTATCCAGTGCACCGATGAGCAACAGAAACAGGATTTGAATGCAAGCTACAAGACACTGAACAAAAGAGTAAGGAAGAGTGCCAGAGAAGACAAGAGAAAGTACTATGAAACCATGGCAAGTGAAGCAGAACAAGCTGCAGGCAAAGGAGACCTCGCAACACTCTACCAAACTACTAGGTACCTATCGGGCAAACGTTTGACACAAATCAAGCCGGTGAAGGATGACAATGGAAAGTCACTCGACAAAGAAACGGAGCAAAGGAAACACTGGGCTGAACACTTCAAAAGACTCCTAAATCGACCACCACCTACAACGCGCCCAGCAATACCAACAACGGAGACAGAGCTACCAGTGAACACCAACCCCCGACGAAATCAGAAGTCCTGAAGGCAATCAAGATGCTAAACGCTGGAAAAGCAGCAGGTCCAGGTGGAATCCCAGCAGAAGCATTGAAGATGGATCCAGAGACAACAGTAGACTTGATGACGCCACTACTGGAGAAGGTGTGGAAAGAAGGCAAAGTACCCGAGGATTGTAAGAAAGGATACTTATTCAAACTACCAAAGAAAGGAGACCTAAGTCAATGCAAGAACTGGCGCGGAATTATGCTCCTGTCCATCCCAAGCAAAATACTAAGCCGCATCATCCTGGAGAGAATCAGACATGCCCTGAATGAAAAACTTCGACCGGAACATGCTGGATTCAGGAGAAACAAGTCATGCATTGATGACATCGCCACATTACGGATCATCATTGAACAAAGCTTGGAGTGGCAGTCACCTCTCTATCTCAACTTCATCGACTTTGAAAAGGCCTTTGACAGCGTCGATCGAGAGGTGAATTGGAAACTACTTCGCTACTACGGGGTGCCACCGACAATAATACATCTCATCCAACAGCTGTACGACAATGCTGCATGCCAAGTAATCCACAACGGGAAACTTACGGAACCCTTCGAAGTGAGGACAGGAGTAAGACAAGGCTGCCTACTATCGCCAATGATTTTCCTGATTGCAGTAGAATGGATGATGCGACAGACACACAGAGGGCAATGAGGAAACAGGCATAAAATGGACTCACAAAAAATCTTGGAGGATCTGGACTTCGCCGATGATATATGTCTGATTTCCCACAAAGTGGAAGACATGCAAACGAAAAGCAACAAGTTAGCAGAAGAAGCATCAAAGATAGGACTTCAGGTGAACATAGATAAAACAGAGGTGATGAAAATTCCTGGGCAACACCACCAGCAGCAACAACAACAACTGACAGCAATCAGCATAAATGGGAGGAACCTGAAAAAAACAACCTCTTTTACCTACCTGGGAAGCATCGTTTCAACTACAGGCCGGCGGAACTGACGAGGATATCAAAGCAAGAATCGGAAAAGCAAAACAAGCTTTCACTACTCTCAAGTCTGTGTGGAGGTCAACAACACTCAGCATCAAAAATAAGATCCGGATTTTCAACTCCAATGTGAAGTAAGTCAGTGCTACTCTATACGGATCAGAGACTTGCACTGCGCGTCATAAAGAGCATCTCAAACAAACTACAGACCTTCATCAACAGTTGTCTTCGCTCAATACTCAAGATCGGATGGCTGGCCAGAAAAGATCAGCAACAGAGATCTCTGGGAGCGAACCAGCCAGGAACCGATTGTGAAACAAATAGGCAAGAAGAAATGGAGATGGATTGGCCATACTCTGAGGAAACAATCCATCAAGTGACATCATTAGACAAGCCATTGCTCAAGTGGAACCCGAAAGGGAAGCAGCGAGTTGGTCGTCAGTGCAAGGGTGACTTGGAGGAGGTCATGTGAAGAGGAGATGAAAACGTGTGGGCAGACTTGGAGCCAGGTGAAGACTCTAGCAGAGAACAGAACGCAATGGAGACGCACGGCTGAAGCCCTATGTTCCTGTAGGAATTAAAGGATACAATAATAATAAGCATTTATATCCCTGGTGGATGTCAGTATAGAATGCATTTCCACTTGGCTTCTTTCTCTGTACACAAAAGGAGACAGTAATTACCTTAAATCTACCTTGGTAGAATACTTTTATCTTACCATCACAATTTTCCTTCCCTTCTTCTTTATCTTTACAATGTTTTTTCCATCATTGTTATTAAATTTTTATCAGTCTTACTGTTAGTTTTCTTAGGATATGTACACATCGAAAAGTCACTGTTGAGTATTAGTCCCAAAGTGTCATTTGATTTCAGATCAGACATGCCCAAATCTTGCCATCTGGTTCTATGTGATTTACATATGTTAAAATTTGTTCAAAATGATCCTCACTTTTTGTCACACTGTTCATGTGCTTGTATGTATTTAACCTTAATTTACTAAATACTACTTTTTCACTGCTACTGCTTGCTTTAATTTTGCTACGGGAAAGAAATGTTTTCAATTTGAAAAGTTTCTCTTATTCTGTTATTATTAACAATTAATACTTAATCCTTCTTAGTAAGAAATACTGGAGGTCAGACTAGTTAATCAGTGTCATTCTAACTTCTGAAAGATATGCCGGTGGCTATTGAAGAACGAAAGCTAAGTCTCCCATGCGCACATCAACACTTAACAAGAATTTACATAGACTGGCAGAAATTTCAAACCACTAAAGTTAAAGCTAGTTAGTTAAGCTGACTCGGAATGCTGAAATGGATATTATTTTTACATTAGGACAACCAAATTAGTTATCGCCAGCAGCAAGCACAGTGAGACTGTTGCATGTGCAACTGAAGCACTGTAGACACCATAACCTTTTTTGACGTTTGTTACTTGCGTTGACATAGCTGAAATCAATCATGGGAGATCTGTACTCATGCTATGGTGTTCTCACACAGGTTTCCGACACCAGCGACTGTAATATGGACCCAAGAACAACAGGCAGACGCAGTCCTTTTTCAGATGGTATTACTAAAAACGCACAAAAGGCTAATCATCAGAGAGCTGTTGTAGTAATAATATTGCACTTACTGCAGCGGAGAGCTGCTCTCAGATGGGCGAAATCATCACAGGCCACACGACTAATGTATCTTGGCAAATTGGCATTATCATTTTTCAGTTCTCACAGACACTGATTCAACAAAGCACTTTGAATTGAACTGTGTTTGTATCAATGTGCAAAGTAATGGTCTCAGATGAATTTCGCAGGATCCAGCTGAATTTAGAGTTAATTTCCAAGCACTTTATTTTCCCCACCGAAAGAGAAATCTCTGCTGTGTTGGGAAGATTCCTGAGTCAAAGGATTTCATGAAGACTCAGTATCCGATGTATTTTAACAGCTTGAATAAATCGAAAAGGGGACGAAAACTAACCAGAAGGAAATCTATCTTCTCGGTAGACCAACAACATTTAATTCACTGATAGTTTGAAGGCTGACGGTATCAACTTTCGTGAATTGTACGGAGTATACTGACGCAAGATCTTATACCAACAACTTCTATAGTATTCGTTTCTCGTGTACCAAAGACAAAGCAAAAGGCAAGATTGATCGTCCAAAGTACGAGATATATTTCGGGACCAAATCGCCGGCTGAAGTGAATGCATAGCTGGCGAGTGATCGTACACGCAAATGACACGACGGAGTACCAAATGGCATGGATGCTTGACCGGAAGCCCTCAGCTAAACAAGTCGACTTAAACAGTGAGGGCCAGCATCCAATGTTGAGTGATGATTGCTGTGGTCAATAATTTTGGGGAATTATTTACCGCTACAATAGATTACCAGCCTCCCTTAATGTGGAGAATTATTTGATGATATGATTTCTTTTATTAAAAATAGAGTTGTCGAACTCATTCACAAAACTAGGCACCTAAGGTGAAGATTTGTGCACCCTGAAGATGTCTTACTGAATCTGCGGAAATGAGAAGTTACAGGAACAGATCCTTTTTCTGGGTGCACATGAATGTTAACGGCCAGTATTGTACTTCATAACAAACAACTGAATGTGAATAGCAACTGAAAGATTAAAATTGCGCATTTCAAATGACGAAGACCCAAATTTTCCACATTTGACTTGAATCACAATTTCTATTGAATTTTGTTTTAATCATCGAGGAAGTTTATAAAAGACCTCCTGTTACAAGCGGACTCATTGATTTCTGGCCTCATTCTAGCTTTTTTTCAAACATGGGCCAAGCTGACATTGGTATGATTGGTTTGGCGGTGATGGGCCAGAATCTTGTGCTCAACATGAATGACCATGGATTCACGGTATTTGAAACTATCTCTTATTTATTGAAAGTAATCTAGGTCTCAGTTTACAACCGGACAGTATCAAAAGTTACTGAGTTCCTTGAAAATGAAGCTAAAGGAACGAAAGTAATAGGGACAAAGTCTCTGGAAGAATTTGTTCAAAGCTTAAAGCGTCCGAGAAAAGCAATGATGCTTGTTAAAGCAGGGCAGGCAGTTGATGATTTTATATCCAAACTGGTACGTGTTTGTCTTATTTCTCGGCTTGTACTCTTTTAAATATTGAAATTGTGTTTTTTTGTGTCTTGTGATTTCACTAGGTCATGGTTGATACTTATCCACTGTTTTATGATTGATTTGACGTGTACATACATACAATTCGATGGAAATAAATCGCGCCACAGTTGATAATTTAGACCTCAAATTCTTCACCTTTTACAGACTGAACTGGTTTAATTGGCTTATTCATATGTTATCATGACGTTTTTCGAGTGTAACTACTATAGCAGCATACTTAAACACCTGTGGTTGTGTGTAGTCAGTTGTTCTAAGGATGTGTTGTCGCTTTTCAACTCCACACACTGCAGCCATGCAGAATACTTGTTAGTCAGTTTTTTCGTGTTTTAAATTTCTTCTTGTATTTGTGCGAAATGTAATGACAAACCGCTATGCACACGGCTTAAGTTGCTATATATTTTTATTTGAACACTATGGATGTGAAGCACTATGTAACAGAAATTTCTGCATACAAACTATTTGGTGCGTACCTATCACTTCTTAAAACTATTTACTGCATTTGGCACCCCAACAAGATATCCCTTGCATAATAAAATACTTGATCTGTTTAACTTCTAAAACCACGTCTTCTGTTTATCGTCTTTCCTTTCTTACGTGTTAACAATAATCCAGTGGTATGATTGAAGTCAAGTTACGTAATGCAGCGTAACCTGTTGGTAGGTCAATTTTGTTTCTTGTTTCACGGGTTCTCTAGTTCTACTGAGCTCGTTGTATCGTTTTTGCTACTGTATGAAAATGATTTCAATTTGTGATGCATACTTTCAAACTAAGGAACAATTTCTTAATTAGATTGCTACCTGTTCGTCTTTTGCAGGTGCCTTTACTTGAGAAAGGTGATATTATAATCGATGGAGGCAATTCAGAATATACGGATACTGACAGACGCTGTTCGGAACTAGCTAAGTTGGGGATTCTCTACGTTGGCACAGGTGTCAGTGGTGGAGAAGAGGGTGCACGAAATGGACCAAGTCTTATGCCTGGAGGTAATCCCGAGGCTTGGTAAGTCTATATGAAAAATAAGTTGGTTGACACCAATTTGTCTCTATCTAACAGTTAACATACATCGTTATAACTTGTGATTTTGGAATGTCAATAGCCGACCCGTATTTCTTTTAAAGTACCTGACAATCTTTTTCCTTTATCTGCGTCACGTTGAATCAAAGCCAAATAAATTCCGTATAATTCCTAGTCAAGAACGAGAAACTGAGTTTTTTGACGCTCATCAGAATATTTGTTCAGCACGATAGCATAACTCATCCCTCAGTAACGTAGGGTCACTTCTAGCTATGAAAGTAGAAGGAAAATACGATTAGCATTCAGCGAAAGTCTAGTAAGGCGTCCAGGTCTAACTGTCTTCACCCTGCCTGACAAGTGGTCTTCGTTAATAAAAACACGAATCTCTGGTCTAGTATTGAAAGCTAACTGAAACGGTAGGGAATCATCTAGCGGGACTTAATTTGTCTTAGTTTTAAGTTGGCACGAATGAGTGAGCATAATTTTCATTCCAGTCACCTGGTTTACAACTTAAACAAAAGGGAAGTAAGAAAAAGGTATGTAAAGCATTATTTAAGCATGTTCCAGTAATACTTGTCAGGAAAGCTTCATAAGTTCACTAAGTAACTGGTCTTTCCTAAGTAGTATTCTATTTTTGTCTTTCAAATTTGAGTAGTGAAAGTTTCATTGTTTTTGTTGTATTTGTGTGACATTGTCTGGTGTGCTTTAATTTATTTTTTCTACTGCTGGTGTCATCATTTTCACGTATCTTCTCTTTCTTCTCTGTTGACTTCCCTATCGTTGATTTGATATAAAGTGGAACCGACAAGTGACCATGTAAAGTTCTGCTACTGTTTAGAATATTGAATACACTTGTAGGATTAAGTTAAATTAATTCCCATTCACCCCCGAAGGTATTCTGTTCTTTTTGTATGTAAGTAGGTTCTTATCATAAGTAAAATTTCATTCGTTAATCTTCTTATCCTTAGTAACATTTCGGTATTGCTACTTACCCTTATGATTTCTGTCCTTTAGGCCACATATCAAGCCAATATTCCAGTCTATTGCAGCCAAAGCCAAGTCTGGAGAGCCTTGTTGCGATTGGGTAAGTTAATCTAATTTAATCATGGCTACCACACATTAAAGTTATTGTCATATTTAAATTGCAATTGTGAAGCACCAAAATGGTATTGGCATAAATTTCTAAAAATAGATTGAATAAAGATTAGTAAACACTACCTATTCTAAGGGTCAAATTAGTCATGAGTTAATTATGTAGAGGTGTGCCTATCAATCAAAAACCCGTACATTAGAACTCAACTGTGCATAGTTTAATTTCAGTTATCTCAAATGAAATGTTCAGTTACATCATAAAATTAAGGTATGCATTTGTTCAATATGTCGTGTTTGTTTCATCTCTTCCTTTTTCTAGACAGGATCGGGTGGTGCTGGGCATTTTGTCAAAATGGTCCATAATGGTATCGAATATGGTGATATGCAGCTAACAGCAGAGGCCTACCATTTGATGCGTGCTTTAGGTCATTTTTCAAACGATGAAATATCTAAAGTGAGTTTTTTATTTGTTTTATTTTTCTTGTGTTTACTATTTCACATGCGTGATTTTCTTAGTCATATTTGGGCTTATCAACAAAGTAAAGAACTACTGTTTGTCTGTCTAGGGATTATAATTCAAGTTGTGCCTGGATCCCACCAAAGATCCATACTTCAGCACACTCAAGCCCAGTATTCATCATTTTAAATACTTCCGATTTATACACTAGGCTATTAAATGAAGTGCTTTCGTGGAATCTTCTGTTTTCAGTTCCTATTTTCGCCATTCCTAATGACTAATGCTTAATTTGTATTTTACTAAACTATCAAAACTAGAATGAGTGGTTTAAAATGTCATTTGTGTATAAACTCGTGAATATTTAAGTGTTTTGTAATTCTAAAGTTCACATTAAGCAAGTCAATTAATAATAGTAGTTTTCAAAGCAATAGAGGCTTGCCACCTTTTTTTACCTTTTTAGCTTTTTCTTGTATACTCTGTGTTTAATCATGTACAAATTTTCAATCTGCAAAATATTTGTCTCACTAAGTTCTGCAGATTCGAAACGGCGATCGGCAGACACATTCTGAAACCGACTACCTACACTTGAATAACTAATCAACCTCACTATATTAGGTACTTGGTTTGTAGCTACGGGTTCACAGTTATGAATTATATCCCACTTACAAAAGTTCGATTGGGCAGGCAATGTTATCATCCCACATAGAGTAGTTATAGCTGACTAACTGACTGGTTTCAACGTAGAACTTTGCACAGATATGCAGCAGTTCGAGTCGCCACACTTCACTTAGCACACAGAGCAAGAGAAGAGAGTAAAGAGATTAAAAATAGAGAGATAATAAACAGAAATATGAGGCAAAAGGAATAGTAATATGGGAGAACAATATAGTTTTATTGCATACTATAAGTCACAAAGAGTGAATGCGTTTGCACCAGCCATTGAGAACGATTTTGAGCCATATCACCGATTGTCTCCACCATTCATTGGTTTTTACCATCCCGAGGACCCCAACCAGTCAGGAAGTCTACATCTCCCTACATGGGTGGCTTAAACTAACTGCTGTGGATTTCATTGACTGATGAGGCCATGTTTTGGTTTGACCACCACTGACTCTCCAGGTATAGCTCATTATTAATCGCGTGGACTTGTCTTTAGTTGATTATGATTTTACGTTGTTTTATTTAAGTCAACTTTCTTTGACGTCTTTATGTTCAGCTGGTTTCAATCGATTTAGGCATTTGACATTTAAACAGTACGCCAATGATTATTAGTGTCTCTGTATGATGAGGCCTTGGTGTCTTTCACCATTATTATAGTTCACAACTTCATATTTACTATTGCGCAGCATCACTAAGCTATACTATAAATTTTTACTGTATTCAGATACACATATCCTTCATGGGAGTAGTTGCTTTAGTTTAAATGAGAAGCACAGTAAACAATTGCTGAGGTATCGTTATTTTGCTTTTGGTTTCTAACTGACCTATGTCAATCCTTTTTGTCAGTTAGTCTATTCATGCAGGATTGCGTTTTAGTTTTTTTGTAGAATACACCACAGAATGTACCTTTTGTGTCCTATGATGTGTGTAGGTTACAGGCCTCTTAGAAATGAAATACTTATGCATTTTGAGGACTACTTTTCCTTACCCATTATTGTGGGAAAAGAAATTTATTTTTAATACGGGTGCGATTCAGTGTTACAAGGAAGAGATCTCCATTTGCATAACTAACTATTCATTCAATTATCCTGCCTATCTTTGTAGGACTATCAGGCTTCCACTAGGTCTTAAATTCTAGGTGTTGTAGTTGCAGTCTGTTATTAAAAATATGTACACCAAATCGTTGGTATATCGTTCTTGCTGGCTGTTCAACTCACCAAACTGATAGATCCTGTTGAAAAGGTTGTGCAGATCTCTACTGGAAAAAAAGAAGAAAAATGTAACCAGAAGTTTGAGAAAACCAAAGGACTGAAGAAATAAAACGTATCCTCAAACTGTTACTTATTGTCCACAAGACTACTTCTTGTCAGCATCTTCACTCAAAATAACTTAAACTGCACATTCTAATCTGAATAACAAGTCTACCAGGGTTTAGTCGATAGGAAATATCTGGTCGATATGTCCACGTCCAGATGTAACACCTGGACTTGATTGTTGTTATGTATTATTGTTACTGAGTTCAAGCCAAACGTTTTCTAATAACGAACCCTATAATTTTAGGAACTATATTGACTAACACTACTGTGGTTATCATAGGACTGTCATCCTTGAACATTGTGTCAGTTTGTGATTCAGATGAGTCAGGAAGTATCTGACTGGCACTCCATTTAAAATCTCAAACGATCCATGTAGTAATCCTGACCCAGCATCCTCAAACATCTGTAGTGATATCTTGGAAATCCAACTGCTTGCCGTTGTTTCAAATTACCCACAACTTTATGGACTTTTTGAGATGTTGGTGTTTCTGTATTGATATCACAAGCAAACTGTGAATGGTAAACAGCTGAATAAGAGAAGTCACGTGAACTGTTCCTCAAATCGTTCTGTCTGTCGTCGACATTATCCCACTTTGTAAGACCTTTACGCTTGATATTTTAATGTCCTTGTGTCAGTCGATGCTTAGAAAAGATTTGTGTACTGACACAGGTTGCTTAAAGTAGAAAGGATGATTAAATTTCCTGAACTTCAATACAGTTAGTATTATAAATTTTTCCATAGATGTTTGGTTATTATGCAGTACTTAGTGCTTCTGTCCTCAATTTTCATTATTCGACCCTTCAGGTTTGGTAGAAATTCAGGAAAAAAAAGTGTCCTAGACAGCATATCTGTGATGAATAATTTTGATTGACTGCTTGGCCAACGTTGCAGCTGTAATCAGTACTGTTTGTGTAACCGAATTGTTGTTCACTGTGTCCAGATATTTTTGTTTATTTTGAAGGTTCTCTTTTATTTTTTTAGCATCTCCGACATTCTTATAGATTTTGTGTGTTCTCTTCTTCCCTACTTTGAAAATTAGGCTTTTAAAAAATGGAATGAAGGTCCATTGGAATCTTACCTTATAGAAATAACTGGAAATATATTAGCATACAGAGAGTCGGATGGTAAACACTTAATTGATAAAATAATGGATACTGCCGGACAGGTAAGTCATAGTACGAACTTTCCTCATTGTCTTGCCTTGACTATTTCTTTTATACCCTACTGTTTTGTTTTTAAAGTGAGTTTGAAGATCTGAGTTAATTATGTCCTACTGTTTGGCTATCTTATCAGTGTTTAGTTTTTGAATGAAAAGCACAGTGATAGAATCGACTGTTCTCATGAGCCATATGGACACTAATTCCTAAGGTATATCAAACTTCTTCGAGATCACTGGGCTTTCCTGCATCTAAAACCAAATTTGTCTTGACTGACCGACCGTTCTCAACGTAGGTCTTTACATAGATGTGCAGCACTTCCAGTCGCCACACTTTACTTAGCACACAAAGCAAGAGAAGAAACTAAAGAGACATTCAAAAAAGAGATAATAAACAGAAATATGAGGTAGAAAGAATAGTAATATGGAAGAACAATAGAATTTTATTGGATATTATAAATCACAAAGAGTGAATGCATCTGCACCAGCTATTGACAACAAGGATTTTGAACAATATCACCAATTGTCTCGAGCTATTGGTTTTTACCATCCCGAGGACCCCAACCAGTCAGGAAGTCTGTATCTCCCTATGTGGCTTAAAATAAATGTCGTGGATTTCATTGACTAATGAGGCCATGTTTTGGTTTGACCACCAGTAGCTCTTTTCTGAAACCAAATTTGTTTTACGCGTTTTTATTCACTAAGCTTCATTTTACACCCCTTAATTGGTAAACTAACGTCAACTGATAGAAGTGTTCTCTGTAATGCATTTAAATCAAAGAGAATATTGTTAGCAATACAACTAATCTAAGTTTGTCCGAATATGTTATTCAGAGTGACAAGTAACTTTCCCTACTAGGTATTGTCTAGAGAAAACATCTATCATAGGCCTCGGCTGATTGATTTTCTTCAAGCTTCAAAAGTTGTGATGAATACAAATACTTTGTATATTTTCCAATATATTTTGTTTGACCAGTCTTATTCAGTGCTACATTGAATTATATGAAAATAACGAGTATAGGTTTAAAAAATAGGACTACTCATAGGATCAACAGTAATTTGTCAAAAAAACATTACTCGTTAACCTGACTGATAGAATTCAGTCTGCACCAAAGAAAGGACTAGATACATCACACTAGTTACTAGTGTCCAATCAAAGTATCCAATACAGCCAGCCCGAATAGCTCAATGGTAACGTCTCTGACTGCAGGCAGCACTGTGTGACGCGGGTTCGAATCTCAGAAGGGACATGAGTTCCTTCGAGGTTGCAGATATACGCCTTGCTGACTAGTGAGTAGTCCCAACTAGCACGAAACCTAGGTAGAGCAAGGCTTCCTGCCGATTGCCTCCAACCATCTAATATTACTCGTTAGTCGTTGAGACCAACTTGTTATATCTTGAAATGTCTTACACTACATAAAATACCTATACACCTTTTACAAGTTATTCTCATTTAATCAATTAGTAAATCTATTCAGAGTTCACTGTGTGTTTATTTGTTGACGTGTTTAGAATAGAGAATCACTAACATTTTTTTGAAGAGCAAAGTAACAATAGTAATCGATATATATATATATATATAATATGGCTCAAAAGAAATTTGTTCGATAAACTAGAGACTAACGATATCTCGGTCACAGGTTTTAGTCGCAAACAGAAATAGATTGAAACTGTTAAAAAAATCTAATAACACACTGTTCTATACTATGTTGTTAAGCTCTTCTAGTACATTCTAGATAACTATGTGATTTAAGTGTTGAAGTCGTCTATTTCTCGTCTGGCTAACATGGAAATTTCACTAACAAACTTCTGATTATTAAAATTATCATGAAAACAAAAATGCATGACGCCTTACTCACCAGATTAGTTTTTTTACTTGATAAAAGTTATATGTGATACTGGTGTAGTCAAATGGGAGAAATTCACCAAACTTTTCACATACACAGTTAAAAATTTACTAGGAGGAGAGGAGTTTTTGCAAGATGTGTAAAGTGTTTATACTAGACTGGGGCGTGTGACAATTCATTGTTTTTGAAATATGACCTCTAAATAATTGAATTTATTATACCTGTATGTTTTTATATGTCTAATTAATGACTTCAACAAAGTCAATGTCAATGTTAGTGGATTTGTAGAAGGCAAGTATATAACAAAATTCTTTCTCTCCTCATTATTTTTCAGAAAGGAACTGGTAAATGGACTGCAATCTGTGCTCTTGATCATGGTGTTCCTGTAACACTTATAGGTTAGTGAGTGTATTGAATCATTTTACATCTTTTAAATATTTCTAAGATAATCATCTCTTCATTAGATAAACTCTATTTTTTAACGGTTTTAGTCAGTGTCCAGTAGCTCTACATTCTTATGGGTTTTTAACGTCTTAATTTTACTTGTCCGAGATTTTAGCACTGCGTTGGTGGCACAGCGGTAGAGTGCTCGCTGACCACGCAGGTGGTCTGGGGTTCGATCCCCGGCCACCACGCACTCCTTTACCTCCTAAGTCATGAAGACTGGTAAGGAGGAGTTGGATGAGGTACAACACCTGTAAAGATATACACTACAAAACTTCAAGCCTCTAGCTTGAAGCCCTATGTTCCACTGGGAATGTAAAGGAATAAAAAAAGATTTTAGCAGTCATTTGATGACATTTCTGTTGTAGGATAAGCTGTTATAGCTGCTACCTTGACGTGGTGGTCGGGCTTGTATATCGCAATGACCCAACAAGCTACACTAGCTGGAACTATTGTTCCTGCAGGTCCTACCATGCCAGGAAGGTTGTTAGGATAGTGATTAGACTAGAAGCAGTTACTCGCAAAGTGTAAGAATTTTTTACGCCATTCTGGGGGTCTGTGGGCGAAGTTGTACTGCTGAGGAACAGGGATGTAACAGCCACAGTAAGGTGTTTCCCTCAGATGACCAGCATGCCAGCCACCTACGCTGTCTCTTCACACTGGAGAGAAGGGGTTAGAAAAGATCGACCCCAAAAATTGTACATGCCGACTTACCCTACGATGGTCCGTAACCGGTGGTAAATTTACTAATACGGAACCAATCCAAGAAACCAGTTCATACAGACCGTGTGTGACCGGCCTCAAGCAGTTGTCCCCTGGGCTCTGCGGTCATGCAACACTAACCCTCTTTCTGTTTCAGGTACCCGAAGAATTAATCAACTTCCACGGTGTGGGCAGCCGGGAAGTAACAACCGCCCACACATGTCCAAAAGCACACGAAGCCCTCCTGAGCCTGTGTTATAGCTTGAGTTAAGTAAGATGAGTGTGAATACCCTTACGACTATCACTGATCTACAACGTGAAGTTACTTGTAACTTAAGTGTTGCAGGTTGGCTGGCAGCCACTGCATTGTAGCTTCGAACTCACTTGCTTCCCAGTAATATCAAAAGGGGTGTATTTATGTCTCACATAATAATAATCTTAGTTTACAAGCGAGTACACACACTTCACCGTACTCAGTAATTATATATGTGTATATAATTATTGTATACTGCGTTTTTGCCTACCAAACAAGCCTTGTAAGTAAACATTAACTAGTTGATAGTGCCTGTCATGGGCGTCCACGTTTCTCTAATCGTCATAAAGGAAAATTACAAGTTTCGATAATTATACATTTCCCGAGTAACGTTGAAAAGAGAAAGGAGGAAAAAAAAGGTTGATTATTTGAATTTATTGTTGACTAAGGTTACTTTGCTTTAGTTAACTTTGTTATTTTAATCCACAGGGAAAATCTTTCATTCTTTTAATGTTTCTGAAATTTCTTTTTTTTTATCTATTCATTCTATAAGGACATGAGGTCATATTGTTTAATGTTTAGATATATGATCTTTGTTGTACGAAATGATGAAGAAAAAACTACACAGGAGTTGATTTCCCCTAAAAACAGACATTTTTACTAAGTAATGAGGAAACAACTGGGGTATTCAAAATATCTTTGATCTGAGTTACTTCTTTTTTGTTATCTGGACAATATCTTCATCTTTATCGTATTTTTAAGAATGAAGTCATTATGTTACTTAATCAGTGGTAGCTAGTAGTAGAATCCAGGATGCATATTTCGTCCTATTTGAAACTCGTCAGTTGTATGTAAATGCATCCCCAGTGAGAGAGAGTTAGTTACAGTACTGTCATTGAAATTTGAACCCAGCATCCGTCAACACAAACGTCAAAGTGTTATCCACTTGGCTACGAGAGAGTTATCTTTTTGTGTAATGGTGGTTTATGTTATTTGGTTGATGGTGGCTATTATTAGTAGAATCCAGAATATAAATTTCGCCCTATTTAGGGCTCATCAGCTGATATGTTAAAAGTCACCCTTGTGAAATGGCGTTTGTTTTTCCTGCGTTTGTAGAGACAACTTCAGTTCGGCATTATTTTATGAGCATATATGACATTACATTAGTAGGAAGATATATAGGAGGACAATTGACCTAAAGTAATTGCAAATAATTATTAAGCTTCATGCCAATCTATCAGGATAAAAGCTGACTAAAAGAAAATTAAAGAACTGTCAGTGAAAATTGAGAGATAAAAGTGATAATATTAATAGGTGAAGTGAGTGGAGGCGGCGCAACGTGAACTTCGAAATAATTGTCCTTTGAGGTAAAGGGATAAGCTTTTACAGGATCATCAATCTAGATACGTAATTTCTAATAAATCTATCTGTCCTTCAATTTTGCCAGTTTGAACCCCGGTGGGTGCATACTGATGAGGAGCCCCAAACTAGGCTGACGAAACAGCTGTCCAGTACTCCCTGGCAGGTTTTCCAATGGTTCTCTAACTGATGTCAGCTCATGATGAAATCCTCCATCCAATCAAACAAAAATACCTACAAAACCAATACTTGAAAGTTGATAATAACTCAGATTTCATACTAACGGAAATCACTTCATCATCAAATTCATGGAGGCTTTACTCCTCTGAATATTGTTTAACTTTGCAGTGATTTTCATCATATATAACATATCTGTTAATGATAAAAAGTTCAATGTTTCATGTGTTTCAATAATAAAGTGCATTAGGTTAAAGCAAGTTGAAACCCACTCAAGAAACGCTATAGTTAACTACAGAAAATTTAATTGTTTTTTTTATTTTTCTATTTGGAACAATCTTGCATGTGATGTGTAGTGTGAATTTCTCATGTGAATTTTTTACTGCTTTAAGTTCACTGCATTCTCCTTCAGTCAGCAATTTTTTCTCATCAGTGTTAAGAGTTGAGCACCAAATTCCAGTTTGTTGTTCTCACAGTGATGACTAGATGAAATTATAACTCACATTTTGTTTGATCATATTCAACTGTATTCACAGTTTACAATCACGAGTTTCAGGCTGAATTAATACAAGCGTAAATTAAAATAGTCATAAGCTTCATTATAATAAATAAAGGCTTTTTTGTATTTCCCAATAAATGAAAAACAAAACGATATTGTTGTTTTTACTGACGTTTCGCTATTTAATGCCAACAGCTTCATCAAAGTAGTAATATTAAAGCAAAATTTATAAAATCTCACCTTATATAGATAACAACTTAACTTAATCATCGTTCCTCAGCATGGTTCCGTTTTGGGTTGTCAATTTGGCCAATTGGTAAAGATAACAAAACCATGTGTAGATTGTTGGATTTGATAAGTGTATAAAATTATAAATACAACATGTGTTCACATAATGAAATTGCTTATCATATTCGTGTTAGTTTTGTAATTTCATGGGGGAGGGATGTGTTGTAACCAGGTCAAAATCTGTTTTAGTCAATCATTCCTATTCAGACAATTTGGATTCCATTTGATATGAAGTGCTTCTGATATTAGACGTTCTTTGTGATTTCTGAAATTTTTCTGGATGATGATTTCAATATTGTCAAAATCAATTTTGTGACTATAGCGAGTAGACAGATCTATGGCTGATGATTTTTCAAGCTTTTCTAGTTCACTAACTGGATTCCTCGGTGGTCGAACAGATGCCCTATGGTGTTCATTTCTTCTGATTTTGATTTCTCTCTGGCGATGTTTGTCTGATGTATATGGCATCAAATTCCAAGCATTTTATTTTGTGGACACAATTAGATAGAGAATCTTTAGGGATTTGGTCTTTTATGTGGACAAGGTTGTTTCGCAGTGTGTCTGATGTTTTGAAGAAAACTCTGATGTCGAGCTTATTGATTACTCTTCTGATATCGTCTGACGTCTCTGCTCTGTATGGAATGACAACTGTTGAGGCCCATGTTTTCGACCATACTTAGTGTCAGTGTTGACTTTGTTGGTGAAGTTCTCTGCGTAGTTATTTTGCTTGAGAGTCTCGGTACAATCAACACGAATGTGATAAGCAATTCTATTATATAAACACACGCTGCTTTTATAATTTTATACACGTATCAAATCCAGCAATCTACACGTGGTTTTGTTATCTTTACCAACTGGCCAACTTCACAACGCGAAAATTACCCCACGCTGAGGAACGATGATTAAGTTCTTATCTATATAAGCTGAGATTTTATAAATTCTGCTTTAATATTACTACTTTGATAAAGCTGTTAGCGTTAAATAGCGAAACGTCAGTAAAAACAACAATATCGTTTTGTTTTTCATTCATTGGAAAATACAAAAATTATAATGAGTACCATATACCCAATGCCCAAATTTTTTCAAACTGTTAAAAGTGAACTTGGTTTGGACATATATAGTAATAAGGCAGTTAGTTACAAAACTGTACATATCTTCTACCAAATGTTGACATCTGTAAAATATTTCGTTATAATTATTTAATACAATGTGCATGCTGTCTATAAGGGTAACAGATTTTCCTAGACTACGAATGTAGGGTCTTCTCATTGTCAAGTTCTTGTTCACAACTTGGAGGCAGCATTTCTGATCGTAGGATTTTTAGTGTAACAAGTTTCTAATTTACTTGTATCTTAGAAACCGTGTGTACCTTCCTGACTGTCAGTGTTAATGTACTTGATGATGTTATCATCAGGCTGACACATTAATGTCTAATTGCCCAGTCAAATTTGAGAGTTCTGAGAATTCATTTTGTAAACTGGCTCAATTTCCTGGAAGCATTACTTGTTAGATCAATAAGAATTGTCGCCTATCCTTATCTAATTTTACTGATATGAATGGCAAAATGTACTTATTGATGACTGTGTCATCAGATAAATTATCTGATCTTTTCGAAATTCCCGTTGGATTTTACCTCATATTTGTTTGTATATTGCTTTCTTTTTCTATAGCTGAGGCTGTATTTTCACGCATATTGTCGTCAATGAGATCTGTTCGCTTAGAAGCATCTAGGGTTTTGCAGGGACCGAAGGACAAACCGTTTAAATGCTCCACTCCTGATGAAGCAAAACAGTTAGTTGACGATATATGGAAGGTGGGTTTTTGTTCATATTGTGTACTAAATTATATTCTAAAGTAGGTTAATTAGCTTTACACTTCTGTAACTGAATAAATCGGTGGATAGGTTATTTACATTGGCACTGGATACCAAATTTTAACTCACAATAACTGATAACTAAAGAAAAAGGGAATTCGAAGACGTGTTAAGAAAAAGAAGCAACTTGCTTTCAAGTTAAATGTTTGTAGCCATTTAGAATTGTTTCCGCTAAAACAAAATCTACACAGTAATGAAAGTTCCGATGGCTTACTATGAACTAAGGCAGTAATCCACTTGACACCGACTGCTACCACTTCAGACCATCTGTCGCATAGATTAATTGGTGCATAGCTTTTCAGTATCTTTTAGATTCAAACGAAAGTATTTACATGCATCAAATTAACCTAACTTAAGGTATATACACACCCACTGGGGTTCGAACCCAGGACCTTCCGGTTATAAGGCAAGCTCGTATACCATTCAGCCACTGGGACCCGATTCACCGGCCAGTCCATGAATTCTAACTTCTACCAATTCGTGATTTTAACGTGACCACCAACCAATTGGGTCTCCTGGCTGAATGGTATACGAGCTTGCCTTATAACCAGAAGGTGCTGGGTTCGAACCCCCCTGTAGTGGGTGCGTACTGCCGATGATTCCCAAACTAGGATGAAACAGTTGGCTGTCCAGTACTCCCTGCTTGTTTTCAATGTTTCTCTAACTGATAACAATCCGTTATCAACTCGTAAAAAGATAATAAGTGTAGCTAAAAGTCTTTCATTATGCTGTCCAAACCTGAAAACGAAGCTTTCCCGATTTATTAAGTGACATTCAATTCAACAGTGATGCAAATCAATAACCAGTCACGTCAAAGATTGTCATGAGATACATAAAGAGTTCAGATAAGTTCAACTCATATTGAAGTTCACACAGATGTTGTCTGAAAAGGCAATGAAAGCTTCAGAATTAAATCACCTAACTGTGAGAACGAAACCATATCAAAAGCATTCATTTGAGCTACAAATCTTCTGCATTATTCTAAGTGTATTCAGCTTATTGCTTACAATTTCAATTACTAAAACCAGAGATAAACAAATAATATGTAGACTTTTTCGTTGAAAATTTGTGCCACATAAACAATCATGTGAATTTTCTTTGTTACATACTTGTTCTAGAATAATTTCAGTCTTTACAACTTTATCTATCTAGTAGAAAATTAAGCTGTTTATAGTGTCCACACATAATATGCGTAAATTAATTCTGTTCTATATGTGTGTAAATCATTTATTTTATTGCCACCTGATAAAAAGTAAAAATCAGCCTACAACTAGACTATAATAACTAGTCATTACTCACTCTTTGAGTTGTAAACAACACTTACATACTTTTCATTGCAGTTATTTATTATTGATTATTACACTTTACAGTTTTCTGATTGTTTCCAGAAAATAAACAGAACTTCTGTGTATACGTTGTTTTCCTAACCAATTGGTAACTGGATATTTCCCAGATTTCTACTAGAAAGGCTTAAAAATGGCACCTAGTATCTTATTAAAATATGCGTCTGTGGCGCAGAGGTAGAATGCTCCCCGGCAGCCACGCCACACGTGGTCTGGGGTTCGATCCCCGGCTGACGCACTCCTAAACCTCGCCTACCTAGTAGGCAATAAGTCAGGTAAAGAGGGAAGGTTGGACGTGAGACTAGCAATCCCACTCCGTAAAAATAAACACCACTGCTACCGAAACTTCAAAGTTCTAGCTTGAAGCCCTATTTTCCACTGGGAGCGCAAAGAAATAAAATAAAATAATAATCTTATTCAAACGAAAGAATTAAAAAAACTCAGTTTGAAAGACAGTGATGACAACATCTCAGACGTGGCTCATACACAGTAATGTATTGAGATTTCACATTTTTTCAGCGAATTCTCCTCTTTTATTGACGCTCTTTTTCCCCCTATTATTTCAGGCATTGTATGCATCTAAAATAGTTTCCTATGCTCAGGGATTTATGCTTTTGCAACATGCTCATCAAACTTTTGGTTGGAAACTAGATCTTGGTTCAATTGCACTTATGTGGCGTGGTGGATGCATAATACGCAGGTTGGTTTAATTTCGATTCGATTGATAATTTTGTCCACTGTAAACTGTCAACACCTTAGTCTAGTGAATTTGAGTTGATCAGTGACTAATGTAAAGAGAAATAAAAAGTTAGCATAAAATAATTTATAAGCAGCTTGTTCCACAGGCGAAAAAGGGTGAAGAGTGAGTTCTTCTGTTAACTTCTCCAAACACAACCCGCATGATGAAAAAGTCAGTTGAACCGTATATAGGAAATAGTTATATGTCTTTGCAATACATATTACATGCTTTTACCCTCATAATTATGCGAGACTTTATCGCAGTCTAATTGATTAACGTGACGCATCAAATAAACATAAAACTGCATCACCAGTATCATTTTCCTGATTCTTTAAGGACAGCTTATTTACTTACGTTGATTGCTATTCTGTCAGTCTTAGTGAATGAGCAACCTGGATGGTGTTTATTAGGGTAAAACTAAGTCTTTTGAGGTAGTGCCATCGCTACAATGGAACAGGACACTAAATTGTTTGGCATAGATAAGAATAAAACAACGGCTTTTGTTAGGCGAAGAGTTGTAGACCTCTTTATTCCATAACGTTCAAGTTAAAGCAAATGAGATCGTAGTTATTTCTTAGCAGAGGCCTCTTTATCATCAGTAAACAATATTTTATTACTGTTATGCCAAATAAATCATTCATTTGACTGACTGTTTTCAACGTAGAACTTTGCATAGATGTGCAGCAGTTCCAGTCGCCACACTTTACTTACCACACAAAGCAAGAGAAGAAACTAAAGAGACATTCAAAAGAGAGATAATAAACAGAAATATGAGGTAAAAAGAATAGTAATATGGGAGAACAATAGAATTTTATTGGATATTATAAATCACAAAGAGTGAATGCATCTGCGCCAGCTATTGACAACAAGGATTTTGAACCATATCACCAATTGTCTCCAGCTATTGGTTTTTACCATCCCGAGGACCCCAACCAGTCAGGAAGTCTACATCTCCCTACATGGCTGGCTTAAACTAACTGCTGTAAATTTCATTGACTGATGAAGTCATGTTTTGGTTTAACCACCATGACTCTTTTCCAATCTGATCCATCCTATGTCAGCTAACATTGCCTTGTCGAGGAAGGCGATGGCTAGGCATGCGTAACACATGTCCTAACCACCTCAATCGGTGTAACTTCACAACCTCGTCGATTGATTTCCCCTCCTTACCTAGCACTCGACGCCTAACCTCAATATTGCTCACCTTATATACCACTTAAAACGGGAGGTAGAACGCAGACATCTATTATTAAAGACAGCTAGCCTTTTCGCATTTCCCACTTTCAATGGCAATGTCTCACAGTCATAAAGGAGGACGGGGCGAACTGCTGAGCAGTACACACGCCCTTTGGTCGACAGCCAGTCGGATATCACGTCTACTTAAGAGATGGCATAAGTTGGCGTATGTCAAACGAGCCCTCTGTATCCGTGCTGAGATTTCGTCAACAATCAACCCGCTGACGTTGACTAATGCAAATCCCTAAATAAGTGAAGTGGTCAACATGCTCTACCGCTTCACTCCCTATCTTTAAGCTAGGAGTAGTCGATGTAGTCCAGTCCTGTAGCATCATCTTACATTTGACAAGGGTAGCGAATCGCATGCCAAATTTTCGAAAATTGCTGCTCAAGGTATTCAGAATACTTTGCGCTTTGTCAGCGTCATCACTTAGGAGGACTATATCATCTGGATATTCTGAGACAGCGAGGTTATTCCCTGGTAACAAGTCGATCCCTGGGTCGCTGAAGTCAGGGTAAAGTCCATTAGTACCAATATCCATGATGAAATTAAACAGAAATCATTCATTTGCGTAGAAATGGCAATTGTTTCTTAATTGTACCTATTGTCGCAGTTTTCTGACTTTCGGCGTTTTTTTAATGTTGATAAAACCACACTCTTTTAAACGGAGCGCCAAATACTTCATCTAGACTGCCAACATAAACCGAAACTTAAGTAGTAAAAAAGCCTCTACAAATTTCCACCTATTCTTTATACTACTTTTATGATTGGATACTAATATGAGAATGTATTCTTTGACTTTGTAGCAAATTTCTTGGAAATATAAAAGAAGCCTATGAACGCAATCCTAATCTCAGTAATTTACTTCTAGACCCATTCTTCAAACAAATTATCGATGAATGTCAAGTAAGTTGTTCAGAAAAATGTTACCATATTTTAACTTAAAAAAAATCACGAGTTGTGTGTATTTACCTGCGCATGTGATCTACTGAAAGAAAAATTCGTGTTTTGTAAAAGATGTTTTGCGTAAACTGTCACAAGTTACTCAACATTTTTATGTAGCACACATCACCACTGCATTTAATGAGTCATCATTCATCAGACCAACTGTTACGTAACAGTACTTTACAACAAAAAGCACAGTGAAATTAAACCTGACGTGATTCACAGGTGTTTAGAGGTAAACGTGTTAAATCACGTCCATCATAATATAACAAGCTTTGAGTATACAAAAGCTACTTATTATTACTTACATTAAACTTTTTCTACTCAGTTTTATTGACATTAAAGGTTAAATATAGCTGTAGAAAATACATTTGAGTCTTTTGAGTCCATGCTTTAAAAAAAGTAGATGATATTGTAATGCTCATAAGAACCAGTGACCTGCTTCACCAAAGATACTTGTGTATAAAAAACTAATGGACGACTGTCTTGCTGTACTAAAATCCATCCATAAAATGTATCATGCTTACGTTTTTTTTTTTAAGTTTTATACTGTAAAAGTAAGTTAGTAGTGGCGGGCAAACTAAGAAATGCCACTGACCATTCACAAGTAAAGACACCTACATTTCAAAAGGATTTTAAAAGTCTTCAGAGTAAATTGAACTAATCTGGGACTTCTGTCTCACTCTCTTTGACTAAATCACGAGAAAAACAAGTCTTACAGTCAATTCAATGAAGTGACTCACAAACCTCTTAATTGTTTATTTTTCTTGACCACTACTTCCATGTGAAAAATACTCAAATTGTAAAAATAGTTTAATGTCATCTTAGTTTTTCGCTACTATTATAAGGAAGTATGAATTATCGGTTTCTTCACTAAGTAATGCAATTTAAAAGTACTTTGTTTGAAAATTTATTAAAAATACAAAGATAAACATCACAATATATTCCAATGTTGATTTATTTATTTTCAGAATGGATGGCGTCAAGTTGTTTCTCATGCAGCACTTAATGGAATTCCTACACCGGCGTTTAGTTCTGCATTAACATTTTACGATGGAATAATATGTCCTAGTCTACCTGCTAATTTACTACAAGTAAGCCTGTTTTGCTATTCACAGTTACACATCACATATCATTAATGTGTGTCTGTCGAATTTTTGCTGAATTAACTTACACTGTCATTGTTGTTTTGTTTTTCTCATGTTCTAGGCTCAACGTGATTACTTTGGTGCTCATCAATTCGAGAAAATAGATAATCCAGGCGTATTTGTCCACGCTGATTGGACTGGTCATGGAGGTTCTGTAGCTTCTTCTACATATCAAGTTTAATTTCTGTACTTTGTAGATGACTTTCTTTCTTTCTTTCTCGTAACTTTATCATTTAAATGGAAAGTGGGGATACTTCTTTTGAATATATATATATATATATCAGTTTAGTGAATATTTGTAAAATTGCTTTTACATGCTAGTATTATGTCAAAAAGTAATTTTTTTTGCAATGATATGTTTAATAAGAAAAGGTTTATTTTGTACATCTTTCTTTTTGTGATATTTCTAACAAAATAGAACAGCTTAGTAGAGAGTAGCATTTCATTCCATTTCATCTCCGGAACCAAATGCTTCACGTTGTTCGTTATCTTCCCCACTGACGCCAGCAGTTCTCAGACGATCATTCGTTGAAGTGGTGCCTAGTTTTGAGGATGCGGGTTTTGCATTCTTCCCTTCGCATGCAACAATTTTTATCTGATAATCGGGTAAGAAAAAGCATTGCGAAAATTAGTTAGCAGACAGTTTAGGTATCATGAGGTGTTTACTAAAGAAAATGTACTTTTCACTTATATAAAGTAAACTAGTAAGAAGCGCAGATGAATTACACGTATGAAATGAAGACTATATACATACCATGGGACTTACTTTATCAACAGTCATGATGGCAGATGAGTCCTTTATTTCTACATCGTTCATTACTAATGTCCATACATTATCACAGTTTCTGTAGGTATTCAAATGACCGCGAAGAGACAGACGATTCTTAACACGTTTCGCCAACGCGTTACTAATACACTGGTCAAATTTTTTCATTACCTGCAATAATTACGCATATATGTTTGTAATTTTTAGAAAGCATACTTACTTTATTATCCATACCAGGTTGTAGTAAGTGATGCGCCAACATCTCATCTAACGCCTCTCTGAGAGTAGTCCCCAGTGTAGTACTTCTGTACATTTCATGATACGTCATTTTGATGAGGAGGAATTCTAAATGATGAAAACCATAAGAGTTTTTCTTAGTAAACGAAAGCTCGAAATTTAATTGAAAGGTGGTGGTAATAACGTCCATCTATGCATTAAACTTGTTTTTTTTTATCCTTCACGTTTCCCAGTGGAACATAGGGCTTCAAGATAGTGGCTTGAAGTTTCTGTAGCAGTGTTTATTTTACAGGATGGGGTTGCTAGCCTCATGCCCAACCTTTCCTCTTCACCAGCATTATTTCTGGCTTAGCGAGGTAAAGGAGGGCGTCGGCCGGGGTTCGAACCCCGGACCATGTGCATGGTCGGCGAGCGTCCTAACCGCTATGCCACCGACGCCCATTAAACTTGTTTACCCTCTAACAAAATCACATATATTTAAAGAGTTTTTAATCAAAAGCTATGCTTAAAATAGCACACTGTGTTAGGAAAGTGATGAATGAAAATCCTAACCTAGGGAGACATAACTTTTACGGCGATGGAACTTGGGCACTGTGATTAAGACGTACACCTCAAGTGGGAAAATTACCCAACCTAATACTCGAAATCATTACGAAAAATGAACCAAAGAATGAGAAGTACTAGAGTACCTTCATATGAATATGAACGAGGAATTTAATGTATAAGTAATACTTTTCTAAGTAAGATATTCTCTTGTGGAACTGTCGTAATTCTCTGGAAACACTAAGTGTTGAATTAATTTCAAAAGGCCTTTTATATGATGCATTTCCCATCTAATGAGGCATTCAGGGGAAACAGCCAACTATCTTGTTTAGTAACTAATGTCTGCATATTAATTTTATGTGTAACGTTATTGTCATACTGTGGTGAGAGCTGGCTGCTAGCCAAATTGGTAGACAGTAATTTACGTCAATGTTCATGTCCCAAATATTGGTCATGTGAAAACAAGAACAAAGACTGACTCAACAACTAATCACAGCAGACTTTGCGTAGGCGGATACAATTAGCAGAGAGATGATCTGACATTCAAGAAACAGCCACAAAGAGATGAAAGATTAACTTTCAGTGAGAGACAACCAATCAGAAGACTGTGTTTGTCTACTAACAATAATGTATATGAAAATCTATAAATATGTGTTGATTTCCTTAATAAACGATCTGTTGCCTGGCCCTTGTCTTCTGTTGTTACAATACTAATGACTAATATGTGTCAGGACTCATTTTAAAGTAAAAACAACCACATTTTTTGAATGTGAGAACATAATGCTACTGTCCATAGAAATAGAACCATTCTAACTTCAATAACCAAAAAGAGTAGAAAACCAACGGAAGGTCACAATAAATACTAAAATAAAGAGTTTAAGGTTATAGTGTGAAGTGGGCGGAATGGTGAGTACATATACACTTCTGCAAAGTGTTACGAAGCCTTTGTGACTGTAAGTATTTAACACAAAGATTTAAGCTAAAATTTACATTTAAATTGAAGGTGGTGACACATTTGCATATTCTCCAGGGTATGAAGGGAGGGCCGTTTCGATGGTTAAAACTTGACTCCTACTTAACTCTATGCACCATCAGCTTCAACCTTAATAAGAGTAGCGATATGGTTCCCAAGTACTGCTATTTCATTAGTAGATAATTCATAAAGAAGGTGAGATTCTGATAGTGGCAAATGGATGGCTGAGGGCGTGTTGACTTAGTGTATGTGAGTTTGGACATATGTTATTAAGATCCTCCCAAAACACTTCTGTATCCAAATATTTCTCTCAGCAGTGCATTTCTGCATTACCTTTGACAATCTCAACGGAGAGTCGCAAAAACTTGTTCAGCATCCCTATCGCCATGAGGTCTTTGCTACTTCTCAAACAGCGGAATATGCTCATTCAGTCATAGGGAAACACCGCTGCGTCGAAAAAGAAATATTTCCCACTATATCATCAAGTAGACTGTACAATAATGTAAGAGAATGGTTTGGGCAAGTTTGTTTGATATAACAATCATAATAACTAGGTCACGTTTTGAGCATAATGCATTCACAGAGCAGTCTGAGATATTATTATGTGGATTTAAGCCATGACACACACACAGCTCTTATGAGGATAATGATTCCAATGGCTGGGTCAGTGTTTTGGTATGAAAAGCCATAGGTTTTGATATCAGCAAGCATTTGGCTATTATAATTGGCGCATGTTTATGCTTTACTGGCTCGCTTTCAGCCACATAGGTGTTATAAATTACATAGTCTTCAACGACCTAGCCGTTTTGCCCAACACGAAACTTAGTTTATCTTAAAAACGTGGGTAATGCGAAATGTTGGTATTTGCGCATTTCTTGAGATAAAAAGTACATTGATACGTGCCTGGCTAGGTTTGAAATGTTTGATTCCATTGCTGAGGAGACTGTAATTTTGTCAGATATAAAGGATTTTAGGTGTGCTTGTAGGAAAGTTTTGATTTGATTAGTCAATCAACTGACTACAATTAAACACACTACCTGACTTAGTTAAGTAGAACACACTTCCATTATTAGGTTCTGAGACATATTTGTTGTGTAACGGCTGATGCTACCTACGCAGCAACCCATACTGAACCCTAGGCCTGATGACCGAAAGACGAGTGCTTGCCTTCCATTTCGAGCAATGTTAACTGACGTCCAGTTACATTGGAAAAGAGTTAGAGGTGGTCATATAGAAAAATTGCATCAATTCATGCAGTTTTTTGTTTGTTAGGCCGGACGACATGCACGTTTGAAAACTACCTGGTAAATATCCTCGAGAGTCTAAGAGCAAACTTGGTTCCAAAGCATACTTTATCGCAGATGCACTCATTCTATATGATTCCCAGATCTATTAAATTCTTATTATTCTCTATGTGCTGATAGTTCTTCTTAATCACTTCCGTTTGTTTATTTTTCTTGGCATTCTTTTTTCCTCTACTTTTAAGTACACTAAGGGAATTGCGATAACTGCCCTAGTCTTAAGTTGAAAATTTAGTTCACTTCACTGAAGTTCTAGTAACAGCTTTAAACATCATTGACTCAACACACAACTCCTTAACCAAGCCATGATCACGAGCTCCCAGCCTTCTACTTTAGTCTGTTTAGCTCCAAGATTCTACCGTCGAAAGCAAGGATTGTCAACTAAATAGTCACTTATTTCATAATTTATCTTCCCGTGTGTTAAAGAATCCTGTGATTACATGAAAAAGTCATTTAAGATAAGACATTTTTCCATTCACATTCAGTATAAAAACGTGAGTATACTGTCAAAAACTAACTACAGGTGGGCATTATTGCAAATCCACACTAATTAAATCAGTTAATTTAGCCTAATGTGACGAAAGTATTCGAAAGGTACCACATACACAAGCTAATGAAATTCTTGTCGTGAACTTTTGGAATAAAATCCCCACAGTCATTAGCATGCAACAGTGAACTCAGTTACGTACGTAATTCTGATATGCATATAATTTGCTAGTTAGTTGTGTCTGATGTATTCTTCACTAAGCCTGCAAGAAATATAGAGACTGGTAAGAACAGACAGATCTCGAAATCTCGCATTAATTCTGTAAGTGATACTGGTATATACTATAATACTATGTTGTGTAGCATCAATCTACATGAACATATAGTCTTTTATAAGCATTCAAAATAAATATTAAGTTAAATTATCATAGCCAAAGTCAGGGTCTTTCAAAAGCTGATGTTCATGAACCACTCAAAAACAGGGAACTCCACGAAAGAGCATTCCAAAACAAATCATGCCTGCCTTTTTGAACTTCGAGAGGGTAGATACAGAATTGTATTTATTCTCTAGGTACTTCCTCTGCAAATCTATACTGTCATGTAGGGTTATGCCTTTTAAGATTAAGGTTTAGGGTCTAGGGCAAGGGTTAAAGTTAGGACTAGAATTCGGATTAAAGAACAGTGTCAGAAATACCAATGGACCACAAAGTACCATGACCTACAGTCAATTGGATGAATGCATCTATCGCCCATGGTAGTTTTTCTCTATAGATCATCTGCGTAGTAACACAAAAGCGACGAACATTTAGTGTATTATCATGTTCGCAGTGGTTTTTAGTGTATTTTTAAACGATTATGTGACTTTTTTGAATTCTAACTGGTTGTCCGAGGTAACTGCGATTTTGGTTGTAATAGTTTAATTTTCCTAAAATAAACCACATCGTACCTCTCCTAAATGGCGTAAATTATCAGACTGCACTATACCACACACTCTACGACAGACTCCTTAAGCACAAATAAACTTCAAGAACCTGGTATGTAACGCGAAGTTTACAAACAGCGTCAAGGCCGATTGTGCCCTCCAATATCCAACATTTTTCATACTAGGTAGTATGAACAAATTCAATTTATTTTGTTCCTTTCTTTCGTTCTTAGGGTGCTGTTCTTAAGTATGGTATGATGAGGCCTCCAACTAGCTTATCTTAGCTTCGGTAGATCCTTATGATGGTGTTTAATCCATTGAGTTGAAGATAGTTGGAGGCAGTGGCTATTGCGTAATCGAATTGGCTTTTGCCAGAGCTGCCATTGGAAGGATATGAAAACGCTCGGGTGTGCTGGTACTACTGTGTCAACCCAAATATACTTCTGTCTCGCAGACCAGAAAAGAGTCAGTAAGTCTAGTTGGAACAACTTATTCGTCCAAATTAAGAAACACATTCAAGAATCGATGTTTTCTGGCTGGATTTGTACCCATATAGCCATAGGTCGTACCTGTACCAATAATTTTGACACGAATAGCGTGTATTTTACACTGAAATAACTGAATCATTTAATGTGGAATGACACGCTTGTAGGTTATTTTTGAGAGGTGCTAGGTAAAATGGAAAACTGTTTCCAGACTTCTCCGTCATCAGTGATTTCCCGAATGTAGGTAACATGTAGAAGCATGAAGACATACACAAGTCGATGTGGGTTTTACTAAGTGGACACGCTGGAAATCAGACTTCTTGTCAACCTCAATAAAGTGGAAACAACACTACAAAGAGGAGCATACGTAGAATCACAGTATTATCCACTGCAAGGAACTCTCAGGCGTATAATTAGGACCAAGTTCAACAGTCAAAAACTGAAGAACGGAACTACAAAAGAAATCATCACCGCAATCATCAGGAAGACGATGGAGGCGTGATAGGAGACATGTATTGGTGTATTAGTAAAGAAGAAGAGGCAAGTCAAGGAATGGATTTGTTTCGACCCACACGGACAAACGAATTGACGGCTGACAGTGAAACAACTGAGGTCCAATTGAGTTGATGAACTTCTTTTATCCCCCGCATTACTACCCACTAGAATCAACTGCGGTTGATTCGACTCAGAAGTTACTGTATGTAGGAGGATTTTGTGGACCCCACGAAATCCGTCGTGTATGGTGAACCTGAAACATAAAGAGTTGGACAGCAGAAACTGGCAAAGAGAAAGAGTTTATTCTTAGTAGGAAAGTAGTGGTACTAGTGGTGAGACGGAACAATCAAACAGCGTAGCCTTTGACAGAAGTAGTGGGCAGTTAGGCAGGTATAATGTCGTGTAGTCCAAGTGTACAAAAGATCCTTGTAATGAGACATGACTAACTGAACGTGGATGTATCTGCACTCATTGAAAATGTATTACTATCTAGACAGCAATATGAGCATGTGTTCCTGGCTAGAATGTAATTCCTAACTCATATACAAGGGCAGAAACATTTTAGCATGTGACGCGGGTAGTATTGCGTCGAACCATTAGTTGTGGGATAAAAAGAACACTAGTGTAACCAAAAGAGACGAACTACAAACCCAGTATCTCGTGAAATCACTGGGCACGTTTATATAAAGTGACAATTTGGTGATACTGAGTGCTAAAAGCTGGTAGAATAATAGCGATATAATTCATTAATATAATAACAATATAATATATATTTATTCCTCTCTATGTATGACTATATACCGCTGTGACACCACACATTATATACCACTGGTTATTTGGGTAGACCTAAATTAACTTAGATTCGTATGTCTGCAATACACAGCAGTAATTACATAATAATTGACTAGTCTGGAAAACTTCCAAATCAGCCTCTGAGGTTGCTGTTGAATATGAAATTAAGATTGTAAAAGACAGACAAGAGAATTTAGCCCATAACTTGGTTTTCACTAGTTGACAGACTAGTCGTGTTGACTTTAGACAAGATTATTGCACTGTGAGACAATAGATAGGAAATACTGTAGTTTTTGTAAGTAGTAAAATCTGCGTATCGGCTTTAACCGTGGGGGGATAACTATTAATCTGTCTGATATGGCTGTCAATGTTGGGGTAGTTGTGACAGACTGACCAATGCGGAAAGGGTTTCCTCGACTGCTATACTAGTTAATCATGTGACTGAATTATAAGGTCGTTAGGGCTGTTAAACTGGCGAGATGATGTAAGAGTTAGTTTTGGTGTAACTAGTGCATAACACACAATCATTCATAAAGTTGCTGAATTAGTCGTGAAAGTTTACTGCATCAGATAGCCAGAAGCGACGCTGGGGCTGTTAGCAATGCCATCAACATATGCGCTTGGCCATCTTGTGTGGTGCAGTCATCGTAACTTATGATCATATCCGCATGACTGTCTATTATGGTGTATACCAGTGGCGTTGGCACTGGTGCTGAATTAGTGATGGCATTTCCTGATCGAATCATTTAGTAGTTGGCACAGCAACTCGGCTGAATGGACTGTAGTGTAAACACAATCATTTTGACTAATGAGATTTAAGAACATTAAAAGACTTCTGATCTACCCACTACAAAAAGCAATCACTAAAAAACTATTATATAAGTGTCACATTGGTAACATGATCAATGAAATACTTAATACGTTATTACAGCATATACCCGAAGTCTAAATAAATACGCTTTCACAGATAAAAAATGACATCGCTAGCTTTGATGAACACATGACTAATTGCTTGAAGAAAGTTGGTTGCAGACACAAATAACATCTCACATATATAATAGAATTAAAAATAGTTTCTCATTGCGCGGCTAATGCTGTATGTTTCGTCGTCATGACCTAACCTGTCGATGTTAAGTCGAAGCTTTAATCAACCAGTTACACACATACTTATCCATATTAGCAGGCTGCAATAACTTCATATGAGCATGATTTGCTATGATTTGGGAAGCTAGCTCACGCTGAGCGAAAATAAAGTGATAAGACTGGCCCACCTAATGTACCATGGAGTTTAAAATAACCACGTGGAAATCTTTAGTGCCTAGTGAAAACGGATACTAGACTAAGGTCTACGACAGTCACGCAATACATAATTGATAGAAAACCAAAATGGATGGAGAATCTCCCAGGTTACTTCCTGTTCTGTGAATGTCTATCGGATACAGTCCCTTTAGTCACAAGACAGCCCAAAAGAAAGTCATCATGGTTGAAGAGAGGCACGCAACGTATTCTGCAAGCAAAGCGGAAGGCTTGGTTTACGTGGCGCGTATCTAAGAGTCAGACAGACCACGACGCATACCTGGAACTCAGGAACCAGTGCAACGCGAGAGTCAGGAGTGATAGGAGGTCATTCCAGGCTAATCTTGCCAGAAAACTCTTAGCAAAACCCAAAAACTTGTATCGATTCATGCCAAAAAGAAAACCAACCAACCAGGGGGCATGCGCCTTGGTAGGCCCAAACGGTCAATATCTCACTAGTCTGGAGATGGCTGAAACATTCAGTTTAGCCTTCGCCAAACAGCTAAACAGCAATGTGGGTATTACCGGTATGGACCAAAATGGTGCCACTACTATTTCACAGGAGGAAGACCCTCATGAGACTTGTTCCAACACTCAATGGAATCGGGGAAACTGCCAAGGGAGTGGAAAAGAGCCATCCTTTTTTCGATCTTCAAGGGTGGGGACAGGCAAAATGCCACCAGTTATAGACCAGTAGCCCTACTCCCAGTGGTATCAAAATTACTAGAAAGTATTACTGATGATCACACCAGGGAGCACTTCAAAGGACTAAGAGGCTCCATGGAGCCCAACACGGTTTCAGGAAAGGTAGATCCTGTGTAACAAACTTACTATCAGCTTGGGATGATCGGACATCATGTTGGGATATGAATGTTCCAGTCCACGTGGTCTTCCTAGACTTTGAGAAGGCATTTGACGCAGTTCACTATGACCTTCTCCTACATAAAATAAGTCAGGCAAGTATACGTAATCTACCTCTGCAATGGTTAAAGGACTACTTAGCTGAGAGGCAATTTCGCACTAACGTCAATCGAGTCCGATCATCTTGGCACAGCTCGTCATCAGGAGTGTCACAGGTTTCTATCCTAAGGCCACTGATGTTTTTGATTTTTGTCAATGGTCTACCATCCCGTCTAAGCTGACCGACTCTTCTATACGCTGACGACGTTAAGCTATGGAGGGCGATAAAGTGTCCGGAGGACTCAGATAGGCTATAGGAAGATCTAAACCTTCTGGAAGATTGGGCGATGGCCAGTGGCATGACTTTCAACCTGAAAAAGTGCAAAGTAGTAAAATTACGCACATGTAGACTGCGGAATGCAAGTTACACCATGTGCAATGGAAGCTTGTCCTGCACAACGTCGGAACGTGACTTAGGTCTAGTTCTAACGGAGAAAATGGACACAAGCGTAAATTACACGAGGAACGTAGCAAGGGCATATGCGGTCATACACTTTACACATAGACAGTTAGGTGCACCCACTCCTGAGCTCTTTCTAAGGTTGTACAAAACACACGTCAGACCACACCTTGAAGTGCATAATATTATTGCACCCCCACTGCTTAGAAGAGACGCCAACCTCTTGAAAAGATTCCAAAGACAGGCAACAAAAGGAGTGGTTGATCTCCGAAATAAACCATATGATGAAAGGCTGAAGAAATAAGGCCTATTCACACTTAGCTACCGCCGTCTTAGGGGGGATTTAATTACTGCCTACAAATGACCAGAATCACCCAAACAAAGGCGTTCTGCCATTAAGTAGGTATAGGCTTCTTCGTGAAAATCCCGGAGGGATAGCTCACCAGAGTGCAAGAGCCCGGGTGCCCTGCCACTTCTTTGCACTGTGGGTTTGCCGTCCCTGGAATTCCTTACCGGCAGATGTACCTATGGCACCGTCTGTGGACGCCTTTAAGCGAAGGCTGGACAATCATTCAGCGACACAAGGAATGCGTACAAATGGCCCATGGACCATTCGGGTAGACAACTAAGTTCGTCGTTTTACCTCTTTACTTTCTCTCCCGTCGTACTTTCTTGACAACTGTAACTACAGTTATTATTATTACCGATATGTACATGTATATATATGTCAACTTCAAATTTAATCAACTGACTGTTGTTACGCTTTCTTTATTTCTTTTTCTGTCTGTTAGTCTGGATAACTTCACTAATTATATATATTATTATTATCTCTTTTCTTTTGACGACGATACTAGAGGACTAACTGGTGAAAGGATCAACTCCATTCACAGTAGTAACAGTCGTAACACAACTCATACTACAAACAACATACAATTAATCCTAGCACTACTCCTTTTGGAGTCAACAAATGCTATGACAGTCGAGTGGCGGGGCGAGCTACGCAGGAGTTTACCGAAGATCAGGAACCTATACCTCACAATCAAGAGGCGAGCACAAGGAAATCAAATCGGTTTATAGTAGCTCGTAAAAATGATATTGGATATTGGAACTCAGAAAAAGCCCGTGAATTTGGATCCCCTGGTCTGCCTCCCAGAGAGACACCCTGAAATCCTTCCGGATCACCTAAATATAGCGGAAAACCTCATTGTCCTCCTGGCTAACAAGATGATGAAGCGTATGTCTTTATTTCGTCAGGCCATAGTTTGCACCATACCAAAGTCACTGACTCAAAAAACTTTTAAAACATGGTCTGTGTGACATGTGAATGCAAATGACTTCGTAAAATTTTGATTCATTCTAACTTTCTTATGATTTTTAGACTCAGTAACCTTTTTGATGCCAGTAATTTTACTAGGTTTCAAGACTATGTAAGACTACACAACTCTTGCCGAAGCTTGGAAGAAAACAATTTGTCGACGCAGAAAAATGAGCGACAATAATTTTGTCACTTCCTTGAGCTTAAACTCACCGAAGGTGGACTGTGTACCGGGACAGTTGGCTAGTGATGGCAGTAGCACTGGGAGAACTGCACAATCTGCACGTTCGCTAATGCTACTAGAAACTGATTTAGTTATCATAACTTCTGAAGGCAAATTAGCGATTCCATCGAACACTTCCTCCGCTCTACATCCAGTAGGTTGAATTGCGTATCTCATGTCTGAAGCAGTGTTCACTGCTTTGTCTGGAGGGCGCCTGCGTACCTCGTTTCACAGGAGTCCAGGTCACTTTCTTTCATTAATTTCAGGCAGCCGTGTTCGATGCGATTATTATGTATGTTAGGCTTTTGCCAGATCGATCGCTGTTCGTCATTTTTCCGGAGTATGAATGAACTGTTTGAGCAGCACAGAGCTGGAAAATGTGCTTCTTGAAATAACTGGAAAGATGACATTGCAATCTGCAAAGTCACGAATGCATTACCGCCTCAACCGGTTATTCTTTGCTCTCCATCAGTTTTCCTTTGTAAGTGACAGTTCTTTTTTGGCGTTTCGCAGGTTTTGGCAAAGTCTGCGGCCGTTTTCCAATAATTATTCGGCATACCCAGTATACCTGGCGTAGTTTCCTGGCAGCCTGCTGCCAGCCTGAGACTGGCCATAGATTTTTGGTCTGCTGATATTCATGACCTCTTCCAGTGTGGGAACTTAAAAATATAAGCGTTCCTGCTGCAGCACCCTTGCGTGATGTTCTGGTTTCTAAACGTCAGTGGAATCCACAGATATGAGCCACAGTGGTGTCTATGTTTAACAGAAATTGCACAGAAATTCCCGAACATTTCGAATATCCACAGCTTTCCCTCGCAAATGTTGGCTGACGTAGATGCACTCCAAGGCAACGTCTCTTGTTGCCTCATTGTATTTGAACTACACAAAAGTCGTCTAACAACTACGTCAGTTTGTTTCACCAAAGTTTTGCTTTCACAACTTTCCACTCCTATTCTGTTGACCCAAGACTACTTTACATGCTTGTGCAATAAAAATATGGACGAATATTTCGGAATCATATAGATATAATGCACAGGTTTTTTAACAACATAGAAGTGAATTTTAGAAACTATTGCTATATCCAATTTTTCGGTGTCAGAAATATTAACAGGTGTAATTACACAGTAAGGCAACAGATTTGTAGTAGTTCTTGACAAATTAACCCATTAATTATCATATTTATAGTAGTACTTGTGTACACATCCTGTGAACTCTCGTTTTCTTTTGTTAGATTCTCAACACTGTCGACGAATTCATGAGGTTCGTCGCTGAAGAAAACGACTCCTACAATGCCACTGGCTTCGTATTCTGCGTTAAGCTGCTACAACAGCCAAGTTAAATAGTAGTAATCCACGGGGACAAGTACACCAACAACTTCCTAGCGAGCATTTAGATTAGGTTAGTGCAACCAAGTTAAATCTATCATATTCGCGAATAATTTCTGGAAAGAGTCAGGAATACTAAACGGGATACCTCCTTAATACTCTTCTCTCTCCACTATGAGTGTTTGGCTCTGTTATTTCGTCCTGATTTGCCTGGTTGCAGCCAGTGGCCTTTTGAAGGCCATTGATGCGTCCGTCCCCTAGGATCACCAATAATTAACTTTGCCTATTAAGAAATGTAATATGCAATCTTCGCCTAGATATTCTACCTGATGAGGCCAATTACTAACTTTGCAAATGTTGTGAGCTACAGACTTTGTGAAATAACGATCATTTATTACTTAGAGCCGTCCATTTAGAAGAAACATCTGCCTTTAAATTATACTGCCGTCAATATGCTGTCCACTTATGCTGACGTGATCAGTTCGCTAGATTCAATTACTATCAGTGTCAAGATTTGAAGACGGAGTAGACAAACTGCTAACATATTTAAAAGTAGCAGTAACTTGTTAATAGAGGAGCGGTAGATGTTTTTGTGAATAGTGGATCTATGAATAAGCAACATCAGAGGGCCGGTATATTCACATTTTGAAGTGCAGTCGGGCGAAATATTTCGTCTTCAGAATTCTCAAAATGCCAACCTGATGACTAAAGTAGGGTTACCTTTGAACCACTAAGTAGACATCCGGAGAAACTGCTGGGAGAAAGATTATCTTGTTGCCAAAGAAGGTGAATGTGTCCACATCTCCAGGGAAGTATTTCGATTACCAAAGCGTTTAGAGTTATCTAACCTATTACCACAACACCTCAACTGTCGCACCATTCACAGTCACCAAGTAAAAATAAATCTGCCGAAGACACTGTGCTTCTGACTTCAAGAAGTAAGTATATCCATAGATTTACAAAGTTAATTGCATTGATAGTAATTCGAGACAAAGCCACAGAACACACTAGGATACTACCTATTCGTCTAGTTGCGTCAACAAATCTTTCTCCAATTAAGATTAGCAAAGGAAGACCACTACTTATGGGAAAACTTATTCGAATTTTTCTTTAGAATTATGTACATGCAGCAATTATATCCACACGAGGGAGCGCACCAAGAAATCACAAACAAAAAAGTGAATGAGTATAGAGTGGAGAGTCAAATGATAAAAACTCCTTGATGTAACGCAGTGTGTATATCAAGTAAAACACTCCAGCATCTCTGAGGAATAATAATATACAATACTAACTTACATAGACTCCAATATATGTACAGGAAAATATGGATAAAAAAGTGGCATAGTAACACCATATTTGTGCTTTGGGAAGAACAGATTTCGCAGTCATGCTTGTTTTCAAAGAAGTATCTTTTACGAGTTGATCACGGAATGATATCAGTTAGAGAACCATTGAAAACCAGAGAGTACTGGACAGTTGCTGTTTCATCCTAGTTTGGGAATCATTGGCAGTACGCACCCACTGGGATTCGAACCCAGGACCTTCCGGTTACAAGGCAAGCTAGCTCACATACCATTCAGCCACTGGTACCTGATTCAGTGGCCAGTCCATGAATTCTAAATTCTACCAATTCGTGATTTAGCACGACCCCAACCACTGTCGTTGGTGGGACATCTATCCACACACGTGACAGCTAATTGGACCTCACTGGTCACGACTTCTCACTAGAACTCCAGGAAGGTCCTGGGTTCGAATCCCAGTGGGTGCGTACTGCCGATGATTCCCAAAACTAGGATGAAACAGCAGCTGTCCAGTACTCCCTGGTTTTCAATGGTTCTCTAACTGATATCAGTCCGTCATCAACTCGTAAAACATAACTAATCCTTACAAACCAAGCTATAGAAAATCATTCTGATGCTCGCTAGTGACTTACTACAGGTTGGAGCTTCCTGGAGTTCTGGTGAGAAGTCGTGACCAGTGAGGTCCAATTAGAAGTCACGTGTGTGGATGGATGTCCCACCAACGACAATAGTTGGGGTCGCGCTAAAATCACGAATTGGTAGAAGTTGGAATTCATGAGCCATTGAATCGGGTCCCAGTGGCTGAATGGTATGTGAGCTAGCTTGCCTTGTAACCGGAAGGTCCTGGGTTCGAATCCCAGTGGGTGCGTACTGCCGATGATTCCCAAAACTAGGGTGAAACAGCAGCTGTCCAGTACTCTCTGGTTTTCAATGGTTCTCTTACTGATATCAGTCCGTCATCAACTTGTAAAACATAACTGACCCTTACAAACCAAACTATAGAAGTATCTTTTACCTTCTTCAGATACCACAAATGCTTCTGTGAACTCAATAAATTGCATATCAGTATTTCTCTTGGTAATTTTGTAAGGTGAATAAGTGGCGTAGACTGTTTAACGACTCAGTATGTTAGAAAGATTTTCGTCACCTGGAGACATTCAAATTAGGAACTTTGGGAGTCAAGTGATTCTTCATGAAGCAGGGAAGACTGTATTCCTTTCACCAGCCATTATTCTACATAACTAGACGGTTCGCTTTGACATTTCGCAAATGTTCAGGTCTAGTGTTGATGGAACTAACTAATTAATACTACCAGAATCCAGGCCTAATTCTAGAGGTAAATGGGCATATTATGTGTTTCGATCTGAAATATGGTTGTTATGTGCACAGGTACTTGTATGCTGTATTAAACACGATTTTTTTATCACGATCATCTCGGCAGTGGGCACTTTACATTAAATAACCTTTCGGTGAAGAAAACAGTCAAGCAATAATTGAAGTTGCCAGTACTGCAAAACGTCACTATGTCACTGAAACCATTGCCAACGACCAGACACAGATGTCAGATAAACATCAACTTGTATGCTGATAGTGTGGCCTTTCTCACTGACAACAATGATGTACACTAAGTAAACTTCACAACTTCTACTTGTACCTGTAGAAATTTCACACCACAAAGAATACCTATTCAACATGGGCTGTGTAACACTCGAATGCCTCAGTTCACAGCTAAATCACACTAACAATGATGCATCTTTCATGGATTTTAACTGACAAAGTACTTCCACAATGTCGCAGACGATTTGAGCAGGAGCTATCAGTACCCTGTAGTGTGCCCTGTGAAATCTCAGAGGAGAAAATCTAAGCCGAAAATTGAAAAGAAGAATTTATATGCAGAAGACATATTTTAGTGTGATATATAAGTATACAACAGTTTTTTCTACAAATTAAGCAACTACCTTGTCTTTATTTAACTGGGCTAAATTACACTAACTTCAAACACCGTAGATTTGAAAGGTATATTTTAGCTCACTTGTTGATAGTACCAATAAGCAAAGTCAGTTTCTGTTGGAAGCTTATTGTTCCTGATCTTTTGGGCTGCTTTTACAAATTGGTGTTATAGAGGTGAGCAAATAAAAACGTGATTTTTTGGTAAATATACTAAGCTAAATGTAAATTGCTGTTCGAACCTTATTATTTTACAGTGAATCAGCATAAATGGTTATTATCTCTATTTTTACAAATTAAAGGTTCAAGTAACCTATTTTTTATAAATGATATCGATGAAATGATATACCACTTCTAATAAATACAAGACTGCGGAAATTTATAAACATGAGAATTTTGAATATTTTAACTCTTTAACATTCATTTTCGCTTATCTGATAGTCATATAAACGTATTTGTGATACTCAGTTATTGTTTTTTAATCAGCGTGTGGTCATAGAGAAGAGTCTGTCTGCACCAAAAACGCAAGTAGATGTGTATTGAGTCTTAAAAATACCATTAGGTTTTGGCAGAGTCCCTGTTATTAAGATATGATCTTGGCACCTGAAATTTGTGACTGCCACTTAAGAAGAAGTTGGGAATTGCATGCTTAAATTTTTCTAAGTTTTTTCCAAATTTCTAAAACGTTGCAACATTGAGGAAATAATATCCCCTATTGACCCATAAACTAAATAGTGGGCTAAACTTTTTCTACTGCGAAGAAGGTAAAATAAGGCTTCTTCTAGCCTGAAGGGGTACTACTCGCAGGAGTGTTTTTCAAGATCCAACTCGTCTGAAATGCGACTGATAGCATGCATCTATGAAAGAAGGACGTTTTCATCCTCGAAGTTATTGAAAGACTAGCTAAATAGGATTCGCAGCTCTTTGGCATATTCAGTTTAATCACATATGTTTGTTTCCTGGCACTATCTATGCGAGGATGCCCAATGATTTCGTGTATTCCATTGATAACGTTTCCATGTGGTGAGAAGACTGGTGTAATTCATTCCTATTTCTCGTGGCTTATTTTTATGAGGGATGAAGATCATTATTCAATGGGCGAATTCCTCTTGGCCTGCTAATCTCAGTAATTTTTGGTGGTCCTATGCACTTTTTCTCAGCATAGAAATAAAGAGGGAGTCAGCTTGTGATAAGGAAACCCATGACTATGTATACTTGTATTATTTTATGCTCTCTAGGTGAAGTTTAAATAAGTGAGTGACTGAATGGACCAATATATTATCATTTATGACACAAATGCAAAACTAATGAGAGGTCTTGCTGAGGCTTACTTGTAATGTTTAATTTTGGAAAGTAACGTGAAAATACCGGATGCTTATTATAGCAGTGTCATATATTTCAAGCCTGGCGAGATTTAGTGATTCTTTTGTGACAATACCTGTGTCTAACACTTATGTACTAATTTTACTCCAAATAACCGATTAAACTGCTGGGAAGGCTAAAGAGTGGCTATAATGCAGACTAAATGCACACTAGAAATTTGCATAATTGGTTTTTAACAGAAAAGTAGCAATGTTTTTGCTGAAGCTGATGAAAAATATCATCCTCAGAAATCAACTATCAGAAACATGCTGGTTGCTATATTCAGAGCTCAGCAAGCACAAAATTCAGTCATCCAGCTTGAGAAATAATAAAGAAGGTGAATAGATTGTTTCTTTCCGTATATTCTTCAGTCTACTTCATTTTCATTTCTAAATGTTTAAAAACAAATTTATTAGTTTTATCATTATAGTTGTACATTCGGTTAAAAACATAATGTAGTTAATTTTTAATACTGGCAAGTGTGTATGATGAGGATGAAGGGAAGTTGAAGTCCAAAAAACGAAAACTATTCTTTCAGAAGAGCTTTAGTATACTCCCAGTTTGATTTTCGAAACAATGATAGCGTGCTTTAACAAAAGTACGTTTAATTGTTTAAGTCGCTTAGTTGGGTTTTTCAGTGCAAGTGTCTATCGTCATGCGTTCGGTTGAGGCATAGTCTGTTAATGAAGATAATCTCATCCATAATTTTACGACTATATTTTGGTATTTCAGTCATTTAAACAATATCACATGTGTAACTTTTAAGCAACTACTCTTACTATACTGAATACTGGAAACAGTCACTTTTTAATAAATGCCCGACTGATGAAGTCTAATTCCAACTGTGTTATTTCACTAACTATCAGAGACCTCCTCAGAGGAGAATAAGATGGCAAAGATCCAGCAGGTGTAATAAATACATTATTATAAAGACAGTTTCGAATATGGTCTGGATAAATATATCAAGTAAATGGTACATTAGACAGACATCAAAATCTTATATCAGAAAACACTTAAGGAGAATAAATAACCTGACTAGTGAACATTCACTCGTATTTACATGTCATATTACATTTTTAATTGTTTTACACTTATTTGATACTTTGAATTTCCACCATTATATACTATTTTAAATATATAAGAAAGTTTGAGGATGGAGTTGCAACTATTTTTCTTTTCTCCTCTGGCTAACCAAGCTGGACAGTGTTCCAGAATACGTTTGTGAACTCCGGAACACTGTCCAGCTTGGTTAGCCAGAGGAGAAAAGAGGAATAGCGGTAGCCCCATCCTCGAACACCTTGTCAACTCTGGACATCGAGCGCCCCCACATGAATGCATCACAGTGCTACACAGAGTCCCTCACTATCGTACAAACGGACTTCGAACACGCCATCTATGCAAGAAAGTTGTCTAAAGGGAACATTTTCTATCTCTGCATGATTTGTATGGTTACACAGACTCTCTTAAGGTGTACACTCATCTAATTTAGCAAATAACTAAGTGATATGTTATAAGAATAGAACTTGTGCACTGTGGTAGAGAATAATTCCATTGTGGGTAAAATTTATTTTGATAAAGTCTCACAGTGTTATACAGTAATATTTACTGATGACGTTTCGAGCACAATTTATTACTGCTCATAATCATATCAAGGTGTCTATGCCCAAGCCTTGTCAAAACGTGTATCAGTGAACCTTTGTGCAATTTATGAGAATGCCCAGTTAATTTGTAGAGTGTAGTTTATTAATCCAGTGAGTAACTTTTTGTGAGATATTAGTCAGTGGTCGTTGTCAAATGGTCTTAAGCTAAATCCCTTCAAATGTCAGGTTGTTGTTAGCTTTACTTTCAAACACAAGCGCGAATTACAAGAACTGGTTCGTTCCCATGATCCTCGTGTGATAGATGGTACTGAAGTTGAAACTAAATTGAATGTTAAATATCTTGGATTGTGTCTTTACTTTGATATTTCCTGGTCTCCCCACATCATGTTAGTTTCTAGAAAGATATTTCGCGCTTAATATTCTACGTAAGGAAGTTAAGAGAATCTGGTATCACTCATTCTCTACTTCTACAGTTTGTTAATTCATGTATTCTACCTATTCTTCTTTATTGCCCTCCTTAATTTTTCCTGGGATACTTAAGAAAGACTCACTTAGAATGTGAAGGGCACTAAAGGCTGTCAGTAGGGCGAATGTGGTGTCGCTAAACCAACTTGTTAATACTTTTATTGGTAGACATATGGTCTGACATAAGAAATTAGCGAATATTATCTTGTTGGACCCTAAGCATCTTGTCTATACACAACTCTCTCATCAGGTAAAACTAGAAGCAACTATAGAAGCCTGTGACTGGACGACTAATTATAAAAACTCCACACTACCTTATTTAGCACACATTTTGTGTGATGTGAAAAGTGTGAGTGATGACACTGATATTGCACTAAGTAAACGGCTTTCTTATTCTTTGTTTCATTAGCATATTGTCGTTAATATTTCCGCTTATGTTCATATTCTTTCGAACAATATTATTAATAGAAATGCCCTGTTTAGTTATTTCCCCCTGTACTAAGTGAAGAGAAAATTAGATATAATATTATACTACATGCTGAAAACTCCACGTTGTATCAAAAGTGCTGTTTGGAATAAAGCCATTATTGGATTTCATCATGAGCTGACATTGGTTAGAGAACCATTGGAAAATCCAGGAGTACTGTACAGCTGTTTCGTCCTAGTTTGGGACTCTTCAGCAATACGCACCCACCGGGGTTCGAACCCAGAACCTCCTGGTTACAAGGCGAGCTCGTACTTGAAAGCCATTATTATTATTATTTTTTTATTATTAGTCGTAGTAGTAGTAGTTACAGGGAAGTCAGATACAAGTTAACGATAACTATTTTTGTCCAGTCTTTCATAAATAAAACACTAAATTCAGAATAAATTCGTTTTATATTTGATACTTTTTAATAGATTTATATATATATGGATTGGTTTAATTAATGATTACGTCCTATTTTCAGAACTTTAATTGAGTCATCGAACTGTAAAACCAGTAGATTGCATGCATAAGATTTATATAGTTAATTTTGAAAGGATAAAGGAAGATGTTCACTTCCGACGATTTCTATCCGCTAATGTGCTCTTCTGTCTTTAACATATTTTTTTAAAGTCAGACAATTTCTCATAAATTTTGTCTGGAATTTGTTTTTTGTAAAAATCGTACTACTTGGTTGGTAAAGTGACGCTATTTGAGAATGGTGTGAATTTTGTGGATTAACTTAAGTTAAGGCACAGAAGCTGAGATAATTTTTATAGGCAGTAAATTGTCTCCAAAGACATGCAAACATCTTTTTTATTTGTCTGACAAAAGTTTATCAAAAATTTATGAGAACCGAAAAGATGATTCCCGATATTTTAAAGATTGCAAATTGTTCTTGTAAGTATATTAGTTCTGAAGTATTCCTTTATCCACTGATATTGATCATGCCTGTTAGGTCAATGACCAACACTTGAAAAGTCATCATTTCAGCGGTAATTTAATTACTTTAATATCACTGGATAAATGCATATAAATGGATTTTAGTAATTGAGGCTTTATTACACATACTTTAAATATAAGGAGTATTATTTCCTTCTTCCCAGAGTATGATCGAAATAGTGAGATTTACGATTTAAGAGGAATTCTGTTAGATAACTATAATGAAAGTCATAACTTCAAGATGAATTAAATTTATAATAAAAATAGTAAGCAATAAAAACGTTGACACTTAATCATGAGACCTTATTTAATGCTGACACTTCATGGTTGGTAGTTAGAAA